GCAGAAAAAATCCCTGGTTGTCTTTTTTTAAGATAAAACCAGCTTTTGTGCTTTGTTTAAAGCTCCAATTGCTAAGTAATCACTCTTGGGGTACGTCTAGACTGTGGGGTACATCTAGACTCCAGTTTCCCAAAAAACTCCACTGCATCTGGGGAACGCGTTTGCTCATCCGCTTTTTTTTTGCGGAAGAACAGACACGCTCTTTCGGAATCCCTGTCTTCCTTATTCCATGAGGACGATGGGATCTTCCAAAAGAGTGTGTTTTTCCAAAATGTAGCCCAGTGTAGATGAGCCAAATTTCAGAAAAGCCTCTTCCGGAAAAAAAAAAAAAGCGGAAAAAGGTATGGAAATTGTGGAGCTTGTTTTGCGTCCCTTTTTCCAAAAAATAGTTGTAGTCTAGACATAGCCATACAATTTTTCACCTTGTGAACCCATAGTATGGCTGGATTTTTCCTCCTGTGAGACAGCCTCTCCAAGCATGTGTTGCATTTTTGCATGCTTCCTTCAAACCCAACCTGGGTCTTGATCTCAGGAATTTTGCCTATAAGAGGAGAACTTGCTATATTCTGGCAGCAAACAAACTAGCTCTGCCAGCTGGCTATTGTTGAAGACTCATAAATCTTTTATACATGCCAGCCCTTGGAAAGGAACAAAGGCTATATCTAGACTACAGGCTTCTTGCACAAGAAGCTTTTTTTGGAAGAGATCGTCCCAAAAAACTTCTTGCAAAAAAGCGCATCCACAGTGCAAAAGCTCATCAAAAAAGTGATGTGCTTTTTTGAAAGATAGCATTCAGACTGCGTGGACGCTATCTTACATGTAAGCAGTGATTCCTGTGGACATAATGGCCACCAGGGCACCTGTGCTTTCACCTCTTCCCTCTTCTTCCAAAAAATCTCTCTCTTCCCCATCCATACATGCTTTTTTGCAAAAGAGCTCTTTCGCAAAAAGGCTTCTTCCATGTAGAATGAGGATTACCAATTGAGCAAAAAGCCTTCTGTTCTTTCAATTTACTATAGAAAGAACATGGTTGCAGTGTGGACATAACTCAAGTTTTGTCCAAAAAATATCCATTTTTTTGATAAAACTCTGTAGTCTAGACACAGCCAAAGAGAGGCATTTTGGTGCAGGCTGCATTATATGATGTCCTAAGTCGATGGGAGATTCTGCTTTTGCTGTGGCAGGACTAGATGTGGATTTTACTCCTCCTGAAATCCATCACCTTCAACCACTTTGCTTTATTTGTTTCGATTTCAGCAAGGCCACATGAAAAGAACTCCTGGCTCCAAGTGTCCTTGATAGAGAAGTGAAAATACAATCTGATGAAACCCCATCCTGATGAAGCAAATCAGCCGCTTTCTTCTACATAAAAGACACCACAAAAACCAACATTTCCCTACTTCAGCTTCCACAAAAGCCATGTCCTCACTCATGAAACACATAGAACTTCCAGTATTAGATGAGGTGTATGATGGGCCCCAAAGACCAACAGATTCCAGCAATTTGAAATCCCAGGAAGCAGAAGAGTGAATTTCTAAGGACTTTGTGGAGAATTCCCCACTAAGGCTGTGTCCAGACTCAGGTTTTTTTTTGAAAAAAGTAGCCTTTTTTCGAAAAAAACTTCACCTGCATTTAGACTGCAGCCGCGTTCTTTCGAAATTAAATCAAAAGAACGCGGCTATTCTTTCGACGTCGGTAAACCTCATTTCATGAGGAAGAACGCCTTTTTTCGAAAGTGCTCTTTCAAAAAAAGGCGTTCTTGAATGCCAACAGGGCTTTTTAGAAAGAGAGCATCGAGACTCACTCGCTGCTTTCTTTCGAAAAAGCGGCTTGCTTTTTCGAAAGTACTGCTTGCTGTCTAGATGCTTTTTTTCAAAAGAGGCTTTTTCGAAAGATACTTTTGAAAAAGCCTCTTTCGAAAGAGGCTTGCAGTCTAGACATAGCCTATGGGTGCCTTCTGTTATGTACTTCTCGCGCCCTTTATGTTGTTTCATTTCTTAGTGGTCATAATTGGCAAGGTGAACAGAAGGAAAAGCCATAAATAGGGGCTTGACAAACAGTACAGTGCAGTCAGAATCTCGGTACTAGTTAGGATAATCAGCAATATCGTGATGAAAGGGATTACAGACAACATAAACATGTTGGCTGTGTCTACACTGGCATCCCTTCCGGAAAAGTGATGCTAATGTAGCACTTTGGAATAGGCAAATCCGCGGGAGATTTAAATATCCCCCACGGTATTTACATTAACATGGCTGCCGCTTTTTTCCGGCTTGGAGATAAGCCGGAGAAAAGCACCAGTCTAGACATGATTCTCCGGAAAATAAAGCCTTTTCTGGAGGATCTCTTATTCTTGAAAGTAGGATTAAGAGATCCTCCAGAAAAGGCTTTATTTTCCGGAGAATCATGTCTAGACTGGCGCTTTTCTCCGGCTTATCTCCAAGCCGGAAAAAAGCGGCAGCCATGTTAATGCAAATACCGCGGGGGATATTTAAATCCCCCGCAGATTTGCCTATTCCAAAGTGCTACATTAGCATCCCTTTTCCGGGAGGGATGCCAGTGTAGACACCGCCGTTGTGTCTACACTGGCACAATCTCGCACAAAAGTGGACGCTATTGCGCAAAAACTTGCTGCCTGTCTACACTGGCCGCGTGTTCTTGTGCAAGTAAACTGACGTTGTAATGTATAAAATCAGGGCTTCTTGTGCCAGAACTATGATGGTCCCACTCAGGAAGAAGCCTCTTTGCGCAAGAGCTCTTCCAGAAGAGGCCAGTGTAGACAGGCAACATGAATTTCTTGCGCAAGAAAACCCTATGGTTAAAATGGCCAACAGAGCTTTCTTGCACAAGAGAGCGTCTACACTCTTGCACAAAAGCACATCTCTTGCGCAAAAGCACATGCCAGCGTAGATGCTCTCTTCTGGAAGAGTTTTTGCAGAAGAACTCTTCCGCAAAAGAGTTTTTGCATGAGAACGCCAGTGTAGATGTAGCCGGAATGTAAAAATCAGGTTCCATGTGAACAGCGCACAGGTAGAACATGCTGTCCAGGGATTGGTTCCTGGACAGTAACCAAGCCATTCCAAGAACATGTGATTCAGCGTAGAACAAATGCAATGTGAAGTGTAAGTGCACATAACGGAAGAGGTTGTTTATGTACCTTTGTCTGGGTGGGGTGCCCTATGCCCACCTATGCTTAAGTCTGATTGACCCAGTGTCTCTTTGCTGTATGCCAAATAAAAATTCCCGAGTGAGGAAATTCGGAGTTGAACTGGATGTTTGAGAGCCCAGAGAAACAGATGTGGGGTTCTCTCAGAACTGGGCAAGGTGTTCTGGATAATCCAAGTGGAAAGGTTTTGGGAGGAATCTCAACTCCCCTATTGCATCAGGAGAGAGCCAGTTTCTCATGTAGGCTGACCTCTATTTTGGGCTTTATAGCTCGCAGTCAGCATTTCAGATTCCACCTGGAAACGAATGAGCAGCCCATGCCAATCCTGGAGCACTGGTGTAGTGTTCATTATGTGATGCATGGCTTAACAAGCAAGCTGCCACTTTCTGCACCAGCTTCCAAGTAGTTTTAAGTTTGCTCCCCTACCATGCCCATTGTAATAACTTAATACTAAGGAGTGGCCCATGGTTTTGAGGGGTAGGTAGAGATTCAGTTCAATTCCTTGCTTTCCTACAGATTGCCACATAACTTCTGGACAGATTGCCACATTGGTTCTGGGATGTGGAAGTGCTGCAGAACCCGCTGGCTTGAAATGGTTTACGTTATTTACAGTTTGGTTCAATGGCTCACAGCATCCCCACTGTACAAATTGTTCCAGCCCCCCTTAATTGCCATTATGACCTCAGGCAAGTCTCTCTGGTTTGGTTCCTCATCTGTAAATTAGGGGTAATTGCACTTCCCTATCTCTCAGGGTGCGCCTACACAGCACCCTAAACTCAAGTCTTATTTCAATTCTATTTTGAAATAACTTCTTTTGAAATGTGGCATGTCTTCACAGTGCCAAATTTCAAAATAACGCACTATTTCAAGACATCCCTTGTGGAACGAGGGTTGTAGGGATGCCAAAATTATGCTCCCGTTATTTCGAAAAATATTTCAAAATAACGGGAGGCTTGTGTAGATGCGGGGTAGCTATTTTGGGGATACCTCCAGTATCCTGAAACAGCCACGCTATGTAGATGTGCCCTCAGAGAACTTGGGAAAGTAAATGCATTAAAACTTCTCTGAGACGCTATAGTAATGGGAGTGCTTGTTGAAAGCCTTTTGACCAGCAAATAACTCTGTGGAAACCTTTTTAGCTGCTTGTGGGCAATTCTAGATTTGAAAAAAAGATTGTTTTCTGACAAAAGTTCTTTGTTGAAAAATATCTTCCTTTTTTAGGGGGAAATTGTTAATATTTTGAACCAGTTCTAAGCAATTCACAAAGACACACACACAAAAAGGAAACATTTAAATAACCCAAACTATAGATTGGGTATAGAATCCTTATCTACCTTACAACAGCATTATGACACTTCTTTGGTTCATGTGTGAGATTCTCTGAGCAGAAAGCATTATACAAATGTGAAGGGAAGCACAGTATAATGAATAAGCTCCTGGAATGGGAGATAGGAGACTTGAGTTTTAACTCCTATCTCGCCAGTGATTCACTTATGGACTTTGTCAAGTCACTTTTGCTCTTTATGCAAAATGGGGATGAAGACATTTAAACCTAGAAGGATGGAAGGGGTCAGCAATGCAATGCAAATGATTATATAGACAAAGATAGGAGTTAGCATCTTTTGTTGGATCAACCTCATTGGTGAATGGGACAAGATTTCAAGTTATTCAGACCTCAGAACTTGTCTCTCTCACCAACAGAAGTTTGTCCAATAAAAGACATGTCTTCACCCACCTCATCTCTTTAACATCCTGGGGCCAACATGGCTACCACAACATTGCAAACACATTATTACAGAACAGAAGTATTACAATACGTTATCATATAGCCTACCTTCAACCAAGGAAGTCAGAAGGGTGACATTTGCTGCTTTCCTTCTTCCTGCAGGCAAATTCAGTCCCAATCTGTCCAATTTTTCTCGCAGACAGCGTCCCCCATTCTTGGATTTTGCTCTGTCATAAGAGAATGGAATTTTTAAAAATCCCACCTTGATTTTATTCCTAGATTCCTAGATTGCAATATCAGAAATTCCTATTCTAACCTTTTTTATAACATAGGCCATACGAGTTATCCAAAATCATTCCTGAAGGAGATCAACTTGTTTGTTTATTACACACCAATCTAAAATTTCCATTCACCCCTTTTGCTAATCTAGGGTTTATCCCATCACTGCTGGTGTCAATGAAAAATCAGTCAGGGCCAGATCCTTATTTCCTTACTCACACCGAGTAGTGACTTAATCTAAAAGTGGTCCCTTTAACATGCCATTTGGGTAAGGTGATATTCAGCATGGGTACGGTGACCAGAATCCAGCTTTAAATGACTCCAGACGATGACTTTCCGCACAATTGGAGCAAAAGTTTTCACATAAATGATGCTACTCTAAAAGTAGCCTCCTGACCAGAAATGGGCAAAATTGATCAGCTGAAAGTTTTTCTGGTGCAAAATGCATTTTAGGCAACAACGAAATATTCTGTGAATCTATGTTGATTCCAACAAATTGTTCTTTTGGAAGCATCCCCATCTCCCAGAAAATCCAAACAAACAGAACCATTTTGTTTTGATGTTTTCTGTGTGAAAACGTTTCAATTTTTTTTCCAGTTTGAAACAACTTTCAAAAATTATTTTTAATATTTTGAAACCATTCAAAAATATTTTAAAATGATCAGCATTGAAACAAAGCATTCCATTCATCAAATGTAGTTTTTGCTTAGGGCTCGTCTTCACTCTATGGCGGATCCACTGGAGGTCAAGTTAGCGTGTCTGCTTGGACACCATAAATAGAACTCCAAGCACTCTCCCGTAGACTTATAGGATGAGAAGAGTAGCTGGCATCAACAGAAGAGCAACCCCCACCAACCTTGCCACGTAGAAGAGGGTTCAGTAAGTATGTTGACTTCAGCTATACTATTTATATAGCTGAAGTTGCATAGATTAGATTGAAGGAGATTGGGAGTTTAGTGTGGAGTACTGACATACCCCTTATCCAGACTCCTCACAATTTACTCCAGTTTTCTCCCTTGTTGTGTGAGAGCTGTAGTAAGTTGTAGTAGATCAGCTCACTGCCTGTTGAATACCTAATCGGCTCTTCTGGCTGGTAAGAAATTTGAAGGGAAACAAGACCTTGCCCACTGCCTTATTCTTTCTGCCATTTTGTCCCATGATAGGAAATCCGGCAAGTAGCCTCACCTTACTCCATCATGGCTAGAGTCAAAGGCTGAGCAAGGCTGAGCAGTGGGCCTTACTCGCTCATATTCCCTTGTGTGGCTAAATAAGGGCTGTGACTAGGGCTTGTGGGTAATTTTCCATCAACATTCTTTTTCAATAGTAAATTTAGATTTTTGACTAAATGAACTTTTCCATGCCAAAAAGAGTCTGCTTTCCATGGAACATTTGGTCTTATTGAGGAAAATTTGATTTTTTAAAATTAAAAGTCTATTTTTCCTTCAGAAAATGTTGATAAAAAGAATTTTTTCTTTGTTTTCATTGACATTTTCCTTAGAAGTTGCTGCCTTTCAATCCGTTTTCTGAGCTACTCTATCTAGGTGATCCAGAGGAAAAATCTAGAAGCAAAAGAATTACAGTACCTGTACTACCTTGAATCTGCTACACCTGACCTTATCTTACCTTCTCAAAATACCTCCCAAGAGTGAAGCATTGAGGCATTCAGGTGGAGAGAGGCGCCTCTTCACCTCCGCAATGGTCACTTTGTATTTAGAAGTGGAGCTGAGTAGAGATAAGCGTCCAGGTACAGAGCAAAAAAGGTCTGTGGGGTTAACAACACAGGTGCCACCTACAAAACAAAAGGCACATGCCTTAGGTTAGAAGGCAGAATCAGAGTATTGTCACTGAGATGTTCTCCTTTGCATAAAGGCACAAGTTTCTTTCTTTCTTTCTTTCTTTCTTTCTTTCTTTCTTTCTTTCTTTCCTGGATCCAGCATGACAAAAACTTAAGGCTGAACTAAAGCACCTGCTTGAGACACTTGGTCAAGAGTTAGAAACTCATCAAGTGATGGAGCCTTTACCACACCCTTGAAGATCTGTTCCAATGGTAAATAACCAACACCGCTGAAAGGCTACATTTTAACATTCACAACACTATATAAGATCAGTCAGGAACACTGGTGTCCTGTTTAGTTTAGGAGAAATGGATGTGTAATGATTATAGGGTGTATTTTTTAATCTGAATGGTTCCGGAGGTCTTAGAACCCTCAACCACTTTACTTTCATTAGGCCAGCCCTTCATCTGGTGTATCAGCATAACTCACTGGAGCTATACTGGTTTATCCCCAGATGAGTTCTGGACCAATATATCCCCTGTCCTTAACATCTGTTTAGTCAACTAGGACATTGCCAAAAGCTTGTGGTTGCAGAATATGATCAACAACTCTGCTTGTCAGGAACAATGGAACTTTCTACCTTAAGAATAAAGCTAATCTCTGCAGGAGACAGCTTTCTGCAGGGCTGGTCTGAGAGTTTGGATGAATTCCTCCATTAACTAATGATCTCCAAGTGCAAGGTGTATTTCTATGAACTGCCCTCTCTAATGTGCAAGCTCTGCTACGTATGTGAACCCAAATTTGAGCAGGCATCTAGGTGTTTGTACAGAGAAGTCAAGCATGCATGCAGTGGAGTTTGTACATGAACAAGTCTGGGTTGTATAAAAGTCCATGCCCATTTTCACATGAGCATTTTAAAATTTCTGGTCTCTAATGTGTAGCTGCAAAATGCAATGCAAATTTGGTGATGGCTTTGGATGTTTAGCTGATCTCTCCACTCTGATAAATTTCAGTATAGCATTGTTGTATGTATATAATGTATTTACACACACACATGCATTTAAGTATAGAGGAGTTATAGATAGAGATCTGTTTATGTTAAAGTAAGAAGAAAATGCCTTGTATGTTTTACAAACAATGGGACTGTACTGAAATTAATGAAATATCAACATTTCTCTCTGTTTCTTAAATTAAACCCATATGTGCACAAGCAATTTACACTGAATAAATAATTGTTCCTTTAAAATGAAAATATTTTGGTCCCACCTTAGCTTTCTGTCCTTAACTTGTGCTTGTTGAAAACCTTGTCGTTAATCTGTAGCTGTAAATACCTTACAACTAAAATGTTTAAAAACACATTTATCATTCACTGCAATCCCATTAAAAACAATACAGAGGGGGAACATGTATGGGAACATGTGTGTTTTTTCTTCAAAACAAAAATTTTGAACAGCGAAAGTAGGGTTTTTTTATATAAACACTGAAAACAAGATGCAAATTAGAACACGATAAAATCTGTTGCATATAATTATTGCACTATGTTAATTATTCATTGATACTGCACCATGGAGGAAGGTGGAATTTACAAAGATTGCTCCAAAAATAGGCCTCAAGGAGCAGGCAATCTTCTCGCAATCTGCTTTTCAGCCCTTACTCACATGGATACTTCCACTTGGGACAAGAGAGAATAAAGACTCTAGGACTGGCCCTTAAATCCAACAGACGGGACCAAGCGGTGTCAATAAACAAAGGGAGAGCAGGTCAGAATAGACCAGAAAGGACAAGTACAGCGGCAGTGAAAGATCACAAGTTATGCATCTTGTAGCATGCACATATTTCTCGCTTCCAGTTCTTTTTTAGTTACTATACTAAAATGAAGAGATGAAGTTGAAGGGAAGCCGAGGTCAGCAATGAAAGCCCTGACTGTGCATTATTTCCTATAAAAGAGCAATGACAGCGACTGGGGTGGATCATTGCTCACCTTCAGAAACTGCGTTGTGGGCATAGAGCATCAAAGGGATTGTCCTTTTAGCTGGTATCCCACCACAGGCAGTAGGCTACAGCAGAAATGATAGAGGACAGGGCAAAAAAAAAAATCTCAGCCTCTCGTGAGCTTAATCAATGTCAGATGACCCGTGCAATCCTCAGTCACATGAGCAGTTTTCTCTCCCCTCAGTAGCTGTTCTTTACCAGATGCTGCCACTGGTACTCATGCTGAGTAGTACCTTGCCCATGAAAAATCACTGCCCTACATGAGTAAAGTGGCAGATTGTGAGCCACTGACACACACCAGTGAGCAATTATTCACATGAGTAGTCCCGGTGAGGTCTTGAAAGGGTGCCAATGGGATTACTGTTGCTAGCAAGGCACTGACATAAATCATTTTGGGGGTGACTCGGCCCATTCACTATTTAACTGACCCCACAAACTTTTCCTTATTTATGCAAATGGACCTGATGACGACAATGGGACCATTCTCAAGATGAAGCATTATGGATAGGGGGAAGTAATAGTAGGATGATGTATGGAGCATCTAGCTTCCACTGTGGAACATGCCTATACATGTGACTAAATTACATTCTTTCTCATTGCCACATGACTTTGTCATCTTATTTATCATCCTCATGACCATTTCCACACATATAACTGAACAGAGGAAATAGGGAAAATGGTAGCTGTAATGTAGGGAACAGAAGACACAGGAGAGGTACGGAAGATTCTGGGCCCAATCCTCCAATGTACAGAGTGCCTTCATCCACCATAAGCGACAAGGAGTCCTGTAGCATCTTATAGATTAACAGATGTATTGGAGCATAAGCTTTCGTGGGCAAAGTGGGTCTTTGCCCATGAAAGCTTATGCTCCAATACATCTGTTAATCTATAAGATGCTACAGTCCACCATGAATTTCACTGGGAGATGAGGATGATGTTACGAATTTCCTAGCAGAACTAAGTGCTTTAATAGGAAAAGATTTCTTAATTTTATTGCTGTAATATTTTGAGGCCCAATCCTATTCCCACTAAAGGCAAAGTGGGGAAATCTTCCCATTAACTTCAACAAGAGCAAAACTGGTTCCTTTGTGCTGGACTCTGCTTTCACTTTGTTCCTTCAATCCTGATCTGACCATCACTTCTTGAAATAGAATTAACAAGAGTTGTGCTAAATAGCCCACAAATTAACATTAAAAGGAAGTATGTGCCAGCAGTGAGAGAGTAATGGTACTTTTTCTCCCCATTACAGTGCAAAATACCAGCCACTAATAAAGATAAATGCATCAAATAAAAATGGCAGGAACAACTATGTATTCCACTAACTTACTAGAAACACAGGTCAGTCCTGTCAGCACAATGAAAATGTCAGTAAATTAAGGTGTAAAGACAGGATGGGGAATTGGGGTTAAAATGTTTCCCTTTAATATTAACAGAAGATGTACACAATAATATAAGGTGGTGGAAAATAATGAAGACTGTTTCATTTAATCACATGCTTAATTTTAAATCTCATGGGCATACTTAAAATTAAGCATGCAGTTATTTGCTCTTTTGAACAGGGCACATGTGTGTCCATTTATTAATAAATCTGTGTTCTCAAATCCTTTCCCTCCATTAGTTAAAATTCTGTACATTAATTATTATTTCAATAGAAAACTATTCTATTGCTTTGTCAGAAATGTGAGACATATATTTCTCCTGCTATCACTGCATTGTGGCTGAATATGTTTCTGACCTATAGCAAAAAGCATGCACATAATAGCAATATTATTTAATATTTGTTAGTAATAGCACCCACAATACAGGAAGTTAAATACAGACAAATAGAGGTTATTTAAAGAAACAACAAAAGGGCTTTTCTAGTAGAAGCAACATAAACCACTAGAGTCATCTTATATAAGTGATTAACAGTAAGTTCTGTTCTTTTATTATTCTATTATTCATATCTATGTGTTCCTTTAAAATAAATTTCTGGGTTATAATTCATGACAACTTCCAGAACATTTTTTTACCCTCTTCTGAAAATCTAGCAAATGTACAGTGTATTGCAAAATGGAGAAATGTAAATCCTTGTTTTCTTAAGTAATAATAGAGTTGACCAAATGGCTAATGATGAGTGATTTATTTGACACAATTTACCTCCTTTTCAGTTTATGAGTCATTGTGGGCAATTTATAATTTTTTCAAAATTATTCATCAAATTATTCAGCAATTCATATCTGTGAATGACTGCTGTTTGTAGTTTATTTCAGAGGACTTCAATATAAATGTTCAAAATGTCAAATCCGAGCTGTTTTGGGTTATTTGTGACTGAATACATATAACTTTTGCAATCATGTTTCTTTACATTTTATAAATTCAAATTTTGTGAATATCTCTAGGAGCATTTAACATGCTGTTTCCATGTACATTGATGTAATAAATTTATTTACCAGAATATTCATGTTCACTAAAGAAAAAAGGGACATGAACACAGCAGAAGTGATTATATCTATATCAGTAAATATTGAGGGTGGGTTTGCTTTAGGCTTTTGCTGTTTTAGATCCCGATCCAGCAAATAATGTAACCCTGTGTGTAACTTCAAAATCATGAGTAATCTGATTTTGTTCAGTAGGAGCTGCTGAGTTGTCAATGCTTTTGAAAATCAAAGCAGGAAGAGATAGGCCTAAATAGGTGTTGAAGAGCCTAACATAGAGCACCTATGTTAGAAAGTCTTGACCTAAGAAGTTAATTCAGATGATAGGTGACTGGTGCCTGCAAAGGGAGAGGAGGGGAGAATGTAGGGAGGGCCACCCAGAGGGGCATGGAGGTGTCATGTGGAGGGCGGGGGGCTCATTTTAGCAATTAAAATGTTGATGGAGGCATAGGGCAGCAGTGCACCTAAGAATGCCATTATAATGGATTCAAAACAAACAAAGGGATGAAGGTGCTTCTGATAGTTTAGTTGCTGGGTTTTTTTGGCCAGAACACTACTGTAAAGATTTCTGCAAACATGCACAAAGGGCAGACACTGGGTGGAAG